AAACCCAACCCCCCCCCCCCCCCAAAAGGGGGAAAAAAAAGGGAAAATTACACCCCTACAGGTGTTTAAACTTCCAAATTCTAAATCCAGGGTTGAAGATTATCTATGCAAAAATCAGGTTTTCTATATAATTAATCTATCCCCAATTAAAAACCCTAAACATACCCCAATTTTCTTCCCTCTCTCTCGTCTCTCTCTGCCTTCACTGCTGTCGCCGTCGAGGAGGCGACCGCCGATGGAGATAATGGGGCAAATGATCTATTTTCCCTTTTCTTTCCTCTCTCAACAATGGTGGCGGCGCCGGCAGGCCGATTGTCACCTCGCAGCGAAGTCGCGCGACACAGCACTATACTCTCGCACGATGACGTTTAAGATAGGAAATGGCAAGAGGCGATCTGGTGGTGCAGCGACACTCTTCTCACGCCCGGAGGAGAATCGCTGCCGTCGCCGCTTTTCATATTGAATATGGCGACCGGTTTTTGCAGAGCGTAAAAAGGCGATTTTGTTGCGAGAATCGTGACCAATTGCGATCTGTTGCCGGACATTAAATGTTAACAGTCGCAGGTGAGGTGTTGATGGCGTTGGTGGTGGTGCGGTATATTTTGACAGGATTAGTGGCGAGTTTGTGTGATCTGGCTGTGGTGGTATGTGTGGTGATGTTGCTGGTAATGTGTGTGGTACGTTCAGCAATGTTGATGCTATCGTCGTGGTGGTTGTGCGGTGTTGGGGGTAGTGGAGACTGGAGATGCTGGTGGTGGTGCAAGTGGGAGTGGCTGTGGTTGTGGTGGGTGATTTTGTTGGTGTTGGTGTTGGTGGTGGTGGCGGTGGCGGTGGCGGTGGCAGCAGTAACAGGAGTTAGTGGGGATTTTGTTGGCATTGGTGGTGGTGCCGAGTGAGGGTGGCTCGGGATTGGGTGTCTGTGACCAGTTTGGTCTCTTGACTGTAATCTGTGACCTTAAAATTCGAACAATTGTGATTTAAAAGTAATATGTGACCATCAAATTTGAAAATATGTGACCTGTGACCTATACAATTTTTGATATGTGATCTCAAAATTATCTGTGACCTACAAAATTTTTGATTTGTGACCAATGACATGAATTGTGACCTATAAAATCGATAGATAAACTGTGATATGTGACTTCGAAAAAATCTGTGACCTATCAAAGCTTTGATTCGTGACCTCAAAATAATCCATGACCAATTAATTTGATGATATGTGACCAATGAATAAATCTGTGACAACTTAAGAATTGTCTAATAGTACAACGGCCGCAAATGAAAACCCAAAACGGAGAAAATTCAAAGTAACGGCATTGGAATTTTGCAGCATGTCATTTCATTATGCTAAAATTTATTCCCTGTTCACGGTGGGCAAAAATTATGTTACCCACCTACCCACATCGGCAGGTCAAACAAATATTTTTTTTTTTTTTTTTTTTTTCCCAAAAAAAAAAAAAAAAAAAAAAAAGAAGAGAGGGAAGAGGCCCAATTCTAAAAAAGGCCCAATCCAATTGATTTCATCTTCAACCTCGAGTCCTCATTCTCAAGGGTCTACATTTTCTGATTCAAGTTTTCTGCAATGGCTCCCATCGGCCACGGTGACTTTGGCGGAGCCAACACACATGGCCGCGCCCTCTTGCTGGGTGTTGATTCTGCCACTGTCAAACAGTGAACATAATTACAGACCTCTGTTGCTGTAATGTAGTGTTAGAGTGTTTACCCATCAACCATGATGTTGAAATATTGGCAGGAGTGAACCACAACAAAGTAAATACAAGAAATGATTTATTTACTTCCAATCAAAATTAAGGACTAGTTACTACTAGATATTTCAATACGTGTAGCACTAAATTGAACAAAGTGTATAGAAAAAGATTCTATCTTACTAGACTTCAAAAATATTGAAGCTCCAGCATAGATAGTCATTGATGATGATTGAATGAATAACTGCACCCGAAACATCGAAAATAGCTAGCTACAACTATCGTTCCTAAAAAATTATCAACTTCTTAACTGAATTTTGTTACGCCAAACAACATTGCAAGAAAACCGTATGAAATGATCCTATAAATACATTATACAATTACAACCAAGATTATTTAAAAAAAATAATAATAATAATTAAAAAAAATTGAACACCACCACTTAACCTTTTGGCCCTCGTACTCTCTTATCCGAACTCCAATAGGTCTAGCAAAAATGATCTATGGTGATACATCACCCAACTACAAAAGAAATTCTTCTCCTATCTGCTTTGCAGTATCCCTACATTTTAAGCATTATCAAATACACTTCCTGCAAGAGTGGTGACAAACAAAATGGGGGAAAACTAGCACATCTATCTGATTCAATGGAAGACCTTTCGACATTAGCAGATGAGCACCATCATAACACAATAATCTGAGAAAATAAACTACTCATGGTTCCAAGCCCAAAACTTAAACCTTTTTTAATGTCACTCTCCACGAAATCAAATAATCTTTAAGAACTTCCAGAATTCAGGAAATAAAATCAAATCTAGGATGAACGAACCCATAATTTTAGATGATAAATCAAATAATCAAGAAAACGGTGAACATTGAAAAAGTTGGTCACATAATTCACAAAACAAAAAGATGCCAACAAAAGCAGGAAAACTGTACATATGAAAACCCAAAAACAAGTAAGAAAAATAGAGATTTCAGAAATTACCAAGATTATCAATTACTTGGTAGAGTCTCAAAAATTCAGAAACCAAATCTATGAAATTTAGATCACAGAAATGAAAAACGGAGGCGTTGAATGGAAGGAATGGTTAAAGAAAATAGGGTTGTGCTAAACATACAGGGTGTATGTTATCAGGGAGAGCTTCTTGGAAATATTGACGAGAGAGGGGTAACGTGAGCAGGTAAAGGTGAATTCTTCATCTATCTATATTGCTCGCATCCCTACAGTTTAGGCATTGCCAAATACACTTCCTGCTAGAGTGGTACTCTATGGGCATCATCCAGATGACAAACAAAATGGGGAAAAACTGGTACACTACCAGATTCAATGGAAGACTCTCTGACATAAGCAGATGAGCACCATCATAACATCATAATCTGAGAAAATAAACTATTCGTGGTCAAAGGGACCTGGAATTCCCAAAACTAAAACCTTTTGAATGACGCTATCCAGGAAATCAAACAATCCTTCGGAATTACCAGAATTCAGGAAATAAAATCAAATCCAGGATGAACGAACCCATAATTTTAGATGATAAATCAAATAATATGGAAAATGGTGGACATTGAAAAAGTAGGTCACATAATTCACAAAACAAGGATGGAAACAAAAGCAGGAAAATTGTACATATAACCCAAAAATTAGTAAGAAAAACATAGATTTCGAAAAATACCAAGATTATCAATTAATTGGCAGAGTCTTAAAAACCCAGAAACCAAATCTATGAAATTCGGAGCAACGCAATGAAAATTTGAGGTGAATGGAAGGAAAGGCCAAAAAAATAAGGTTGCGCTAAACGTATAAAGTGTACGTTGTGGGGGCCAGCTTTTTAGATGAAAATATTGACGAGAGAGGAGTTAAAGTGAGTAATTAGATTGAGCAGTTAAAGGTGAATTCTTCTTTTATCTACTTTGCAAGTATCCTTATATTTTAGACATTATCAAATATACTTCCTATAAGAGTGGCACTCTATGGGCATCATCCAGATGACAAACAAAATGGGGGGATAACTGGTACATCTAATTGATTCAATGGAAAACCTTTTGATATTAGTAGATGAGCAACATCATAATATAATAATCTGAGATAATAAACTACTCGTGGTCCTTTTTAATGACACTCTCCAGAAAATCAAATAATCCAACCCAAGATGAACGAACCCATTAGACATTATCAAATATACTTCCTATAAGAGTGGCACTCTATGGGCATCATCCAGATGACAAACAAAATGGGGGGATAACTGGTACATCTAATTGATTCAATGGAAAACCTTTTGATATTAGTAGATGAGCAACATCATAATATAATAATCTGAGATAATAAACTACTCATGGTCCTTTTTAATGACACTCTCCAGGAAATCAAATAATCCTTAATATTTACCGGAATTTAGGAAATAAAATCGAATCCAAGATGAACGAACCCAAAATTTTAGATGATAAATCAAATAATCCGAAAAATAGTGGACATTGAAAAGGTTGGTCACATAATTCACAAAACAAAAAGATGGCAATAGAAGCAGGAAAATTTTACGTATGAAAATCCAAAGACAAGTAAGTAAAACAGAGATTCCAAAAATACGAAGAATATCAATTAATTGGAAGAATCTCAAAAACCCAGAAACCAAATCTATGAAATTCAGATCACAGCAATGAAAATCTGAAGCGCCGAATGGAAGGAAAGGTTAAAGAAAATAGGGCTGTGCTAAATGTACAGGGTGTATGTTACGGGGACCAACTTTTTGGAAGAAATTATTGAAGAAAGTGGAGTTAGCGAGAGTAATTAGATTGAGCAGGTAAAGGCGAATTCTTCTATCTATCTATTTTGCAGGCATCCCTACATTTTTTAAGCATCAGCAAATACACTTCCTACAAGAGTGGTACTCTATGCGCATCATCCAGACGACAAACGAAATGGGGGAAAACTAACACATATACCGATTCAATGGAAGACCTTTTGACATCAGTAGATGAGCACCATTAAACATAATAATCAGAGAAAATAAACTACACATGATCAAAGTGACTTGATATCCCAAAACTTAAACCTTTTTAATGACACTCTCTAGGAAATCAAATATTCCTTAAGAACTACCAGAATTAGGGTAATACAACCGAATCCAGGTTGAACGAACCCACTATTTTAGATGATAAATCAAATAATCCAAAAAACGGTGGACATTGAAAAAGTTGGTCGCATAATACACAAAACGAAAAGATAGCAATAGAGGCAGGAAAATTGTACATATGAAAACCCAAAAACAAGTAAGAAAACTAGAGATTTTGGAAAATACCAAGATTATCAATTAATTAGCAGAGTCTCAAAACCCAGAAACCAAATCTATGGAATTTGGAGCGCAGCAATGAAAATCTGAGGCGTCGAATGGAAGGAAATGTCAAAAAAATAGGGTTGTACTAAACGTACAGAATGTACGTTGTGGGGGTTAGCTTTTTAAAAGAAAATATTGATGAGAGAGGGATTAACATGAATAATTAGAATGAGCAGGTAAAGGCAAATTATTCTATTATCCATTTTGCAGGCATCCCTACATTTTTGGCATTATCAGATACACTTTCTATAAGAGCGATACTCTATGGGCATCATCTAGATGACAAACAAAATGGGGAAAAACTAGCACATCTACTTGGTTCAATGGGAGACCTTTTGACATTAATAGATGAGCACCATCATAACATAATAATCTGAGAAAATAAACTACTCATGGTCCTTTTTAATGACACTCTCCATGAAATCAAATAATCCTTAAGGATTACCAGAATTCAGAAAATAAAATTGAATCCAGGATGAACGAACCCATAATTTTAGATGATAAATCAAATAAT